AGAAAGAAAGAAAGAAAGAAAGAAAGAAAGAAAGAAAGAAAGAAAGAGAGAAAGAAAGAAAGAAAACCTCTGTATTTCTCCTGGTTCTTTTTCATTCTTGGAGAATTACTCATAATTAGAACTATCCAAAAGTCTTAGGTTGCCTCAGGAGTGCATAGGTGCTCCTTCATTGAGGGTCTCCCAGCAAAGGCAGGATGACCATTTATTGGGGAGGGCATGGTGGGAATTCTTTTTCTGGTGAAAATCGGGACTCGATGAGCCCCATGTCCCATGCAACACTAAGGGTCTGAGATTTTGTGGAAAACAAAGGGAAACCAGTTCCGTATCTCCCCTTCTCCTCCTCAATCCTTCCATCTTTTGGACCCTCTTCTTTTTACTTTAATTAAAAGAAATTTTTTGGTTACATTTCGAGTTCCGAGTTGTCTCCCTGGTTGCCTCTCCTTTCACTACGTTCCCTTACCTTTTGGAGGTCTCTGTCATCACCCATCACAGTGAGAGCCTGGAGCTCATCACCTTTGCATTGAAGACCCGCAGCCCTTCCGAGGTGGTCCCCAGGCCAGGAGCTTTGACCCTAGGTACATTGCTTGACTCAGAGACCTGACTGTTCCCTCCTTCTTGCTTCTGTATTGACTCCAGGGACAAGGTGCCTTATCTGAGAGGCTCCGGAGCTTCAGCATGCAAGACCTCACTACCATCCGCGGTGATGGGGCCCCCGTCCCCTCTAGCCCACCTCCCTCAGCAACTGTGCGGACCAGCAGCAAACACGGCCAGCCCAAAATGTCCAGAAGCGCGTCTGAAAGTGCTGGCAGTTCAGGTAGGTGGAACTCTTCCTCTTCTGAAATGCGTTCCTTCATCTCATTGGATGGAGGTTAAAGCGGTAGCTGGTGAAATGGAGCCGTCCAAAGCTCAGAGCCCAACTTGGCTCCAGCCCAGTGGGCTTGCTCTCCAAATGAGCCGCATGACACGGACACGGGATGAGGAGTCCACTCAGAAGCTGAGGAGGCAAGGACCATCGTTAGAAGGGAAATCACTTCTGGAAGTCCTCTGGAAATGCCGTGGGCTAGAAAGGATTGAGACTTGACCTGGGGTTGTCTTCTTGAGGGACAGAGGGGAAATAGAAGCAGATTGGGTGAAGCTGGGAGGTCAGGAGAGATTGAGAAGCAAGGCTGGCCTCTGGCCAAACTATGGCTTAGCTGACCATGAGGGGTCATCCCGTGGCATCCCAGATCCATCCCCTAGCACCCACTCGAGGGACCGTCTACCCTTGGGCCACACACCCAGGGACTCGGTACCCTAAAGCACTGCTCACCCAGATCGTCTTCTTCCCATGTCCCCCCATCCCAACGGAAATTCATCTGCCCCCAGCACATCCTCCCTGTGCTAGAAATGTCAGCTCATCTGATAAACTGATTCCAGCTATTGGCAGAGAGCCCATTCCCAGGTAATTAAGTGGGACCTCTGGAGACAATGTGCCCACATGAGTCTAAGCCGTCAGTGATCCTTGTGGTGGGAATGTATGCAGTGTTTTCAACTCCAGTGAGGAAGATCATGCTGGGGGAGGGGTCCTAGTGTGCCCCCTCACAAAGGATCAGATCTGGCACTAGGATTAGGAGGAGTGCAGTGGGGCACCACAAAGGATTTCACTTGTGGGAGTCTCCTTTTCTTGGGAACACAACCCTTATGCCTTTGAAATCTTCTCTGACCCTTCAACTGTGGCAAGGTCCTCAGTAACTTAGCTCTCTGTCTGTCTCTATGTATGTATGTATATATTCCTCTCTCTGTCTCTCTCTCTTTATACACACACACACACAAATTTCTTTTTTTTTTGGTTTGGCTTTTGGTCTGAAAATGTGATTTCATCTGTGAAAGGACCTCCTAGTGTGTAAACTCTCTCCACCAATGCAGATCGTCAATCTGCCAGCAAATGACAGTTTTAGAGAGTTGTCAGAGGAATTAAGAGGTAAGTGTTTTGGCCATAGTCATGTATCATCAGCAGAGCTTGAACTCAGATCTTGCATACTCGAAGGCTGGCCCTCTATCTGCTGTGCAGCCTCTCAGTTCCTTATTTACTATGGGGCATGTATAGCCCCAAGTAGCATATAGTCTCCTTGAGGACAGAAGAAGGAAATAAACATTTCTATAGTACCTACTGTGTGCCAGGCACTGTGCTAGCACTTTACAAGTATTACCTCATTTGCTCCTCATAACAACCCTGGGAGGCAGGCACAGTTATTATCCCCCATTTTACAGATGATGAAACTGATACAGAGGTTAAGTGACCTACCCAGGGTCATACAGCTAGAAAGTATCTGAGGCTGGATTTGAACTCAAGTCTTCTTGACTCCAGCCCCAGGGCTCTATCCACTGCACCACCAGCTGCCTAGAGATGGGACACATTTTATCTTTGTGTCCCCAAACACGTAGCTCAATTAATACTTTTCACACAGGTGCTTAATAAATGGTTTTTTTTGTTGATATTGGCAGATTACCGGTGCACACACAGTAATAATAATAACAAATAGCGAGCATTTATATAGCACTTTAAGGATGCAAAGAGCTTTCCAAATGTCTCTTTTGATCCTCCCAACAACCCTGCAGAAGAGGAGCAATTACAAGTAGCTAGCCGGCACAGTGAGTGGAGTGTTAGACTGGTAGTCTGGACGTTCTGAGTTCAAATCTAGCCTCAGGAACCTACCAGCTGGGTGACTGGGCAGATCACTGAATCTCGTTGTGCCTCAGTTTCCTCATCTGTAAAAATGGGGATAATAATAGCACCTCCTCCCTAGGTTTGTTGTAATATTTATAAAGCACTTGGCCAACCTTAAAACATTATAAAAATGCTAGTTATAATTATTATCATTACTTATTACTATCCCCATTCCACTTTAAAATCTATGATCCTATGATCTTATGAACTTACATTTTACAGAGAAGGAAACTGAGGCCTGGAGAATTTAAATGGCTTGCCTAGGGATACATAGCAAGTAAAGAATGGACCTGGGAGGAGAAGCCAGGTTTCTCTGACTCCTTACTTTAGAATTTTCTACTGTGGAACCTGGTGAGAAGGGCCAGCTCTGACACATAGTACCCAGTACAACAGATGTTTGTTGATTGACTGGTGGATATATCATTCCAGTAGTAATAATAGCTAATATTTATAAAGAACTTAGTATGTGCCGGTCACCATGCTAAGCACTTTACAATTTATTATCTCATTTATTATGCTCACCACAACCCTGGGGGGGTAGATGCTATTATTACCCCTATTTTACAGATGAGGAAACCAAGGCACTTAGCACCTAGATGAGTTGCCCAGGGGTCACCCAGATAGCAAACATCTGATGTGGCATTTGAACCCAGAGCATACATAATATGCTCTGTTACTTACTAGCCTCACTATGCCAAGATGCTTCCTAGAGGCACGAAGGAAGCTGCCTTTGGAGATTGCTCTGCTGAGCACTCTGGCATACTGGGAATTTTCTAAGCCCGGCTGGTGGCAGCTGTCCCACTTGCCCGGGGTGGGGGACCATACAAGGACAGAATTGCTTGTAGTGGCCACAGCCCAAAATAAAGCATCTCTGGACTGTCAGGCAGCGTCCACAGGCCAGGGCCAGGAGCAGGCACTCAGGACTCAGTGGGGTGGAAGGGCTCCCCGAGTAATCCGAGGGGGTGGCATGAATCCCTCATGGCTCTTGCACCAGGCTGCATCCTGAGTGGGGGTGGGGGGGAAGGGCGCCCACAAAGATGGTCATAGAATTAGAGACTTGAGAGGTGTGGGTTAAGCCCATCTGATCCAACCCCTTCATTTTGCAAGCGAGGAAAACTCTGACCTATGAGGATTAAGGGACAAGTCCCAGGTCCCTCGAGGGCTCTTTCCACATCAGCACAGTGCCCCCTTATGCAGTGAGGGGCTACACTGATTCCAGATGTCCCATTTGGAAGGCTCTGAGCTTCACTGGGCCAGAAGGTGTAGAGGAAGCCAGGTGTCATATTAGATAGGAAGCTGGACCTGGAGTCAGGAAGACCTGAGTTCAAATCCAGCCTCAGACACTTATAAGCTGTGCAAGTGACTTATTCTTTGTCTACCTCAGCTTCTTCATCTCTAAAATGGGTGTTAATAATAGCACCTATCTCCCCAGGGTTATTGTGAGAATAAAACCAGATAATATTTATAAATTACTTGGTAAACCTTTTTTATTATTATTGTAGTAGTAATAGTAGTAGTGGTAGTGGTAGTGATGGTCTTATTGGTGATAGTGATAGTGGTAGTGGTAGTGGTAGTGGTAATGGTAGTGGTGGTAGTAGTAGTAGTAGTAGTAGTAGTAGTAGTAGTAGTAGTAGTAGT